GCTGGCATAGAATTTCCTTTGTTCCAATTACAGAATCTCATTTTTCTCTCTTGCTTGCAATTGTGCTTTCATTGTTTATGATTTGTATGATTAAAACAAACCACAGTATGTTGGCAACAGCAAGGAAATCTGAGACTTTTAGCTTGAAGAAGAGAATCTGGCAAGGTGCTAAAAATATATTAATTTGGAATCGGTATAAAGAGAACAAGAGTTATGCGGATGATTTAGATTAATGTACAAGTTTGTCATGAGAAATTTGGAAATGGCAGTATCTAACAGTAATACTTAATGTGCTTACAAGTTTTGCAGTGGGCAAATGTTGCTGTCGTTCTATTCAGAACAGCTTGAAAGGAATATACTCATGTAAGCAGATTATTAAACTCTGAGAACCTAGATTTTAATAGGCTTTTAGTATTAAATGCTGCAAAACCCTGATACTACATGCAAGGTTCAAATCACCTTTGAGATTCAGATGCCTAACTCCCATAGAAACTGAGATGAGTTCGATATCTCAACACCCACTTGACTTAAGCTGAAGTCTTTAAATGAGCTAATTATTCAGTCAGGACTTCAGTGATAAGAATCACCCTCTGGTTTTTCTCAACACTGAATGGAGAGATGGATAAGAGAGGCTGGACAACATCATCTCACTACCCAACACCACCAGCGTAAGGGCAGGGAGGAGGATGGGGCATGAAGACAAAAAGAGGCAAGGAAGGGCATGTTGGCAACCCTCACTTAGGCAGGTTTAAGCTGTTGCACACCCACCCTTTATGCATGTCCAGCCCTCTCCTATCTCAGGGAAGTGCTTGTCAATTAATTGATCCCAGGAAAGCTGCAGAGGTGCACAGGGGTGCACAGACAGAAGGAGATCCAGTAGGTCTGGTTCCCAGCTACCACAAACACCCAAGCACCGTGACCCCTCAACAAGCTCTTCACAAGTGGTGCAGTGTGCCACATGTAGCTTTTGCTGTGAATCTTTGTGGTGTCACATAAAAGCACAATATGTTTTTGCACGCTTCAAAGTGTGAAAAGCAGTAATTTCTTGCCTTTTCTTTTTTCTTCCCACTTTAGCTTATGTTCTTCAACCAAGCAGCAACAGCACAGCAAAAGACACAGGCACCGCTGGGTGCGTGACCAGAAAAAATCAGCCTTCCTTGTATGATTGCCACTCTTTGCTTTTTTTTTTTTTTTTTTTTTTTTGCATTTTGCCATTACTTCTGACAGATCAAGGCACCATGTCCTAAACCCACATAAGGGATGGTGATCAAGCTACCAATCCACAGAGCAAACCTAGGGAAGGAGGATGAATTCTTGCCATTAGATGGTCCAACCCAGAGAAGTGAGACAGGCAACAGATCACAAAATAAGACTCAGTAAAAGAAAATGAGGGATGAATCATATCAAAAATGCTAGAATACACAAAGCAGGATGAGTGATGCTGACCCATAAGCAGAGCATATTGCATGTCATCTCCACCACAAGCCAAGGCATAGAAAGCTCTCGGTCAAGAGGGTTCTCAGAGCTCTTCATTTCAGGGGGGTTGCAAGGGGCTGCACCAGGCAAGGAGTGCACTCACTGCATGCATAACCCTGCTCCATCGGTGGGAAATCTCAGAGCCACACTGAAACAAGAACATAGCTCAAGTAGAGTCAGACCTCGATCAACACAATCAGCGAAGTACAGTCTGCACAGGACTGCACTGGAACGGTTCGTTGCGTCAGAAGAAACGCACAGTAAAATAACTCCAGCTGGCTGCATCGCATTGGAGGCCCAGACAAACACGCCACGTTCGATCAGGGCCAAGGGAATTAAGGGCAAGGAGGAAATGGAGGAGAGTTCAAAGCTTAAAATGGGAAATGAGACCCACTGGAAAGACGTTGAGTGTGTCCAGTCTGCAAGGAGGAGGGACACGCTCACTCTCTGCTGATAACAAAGCACTGGGATAAACAGGACAGAGTAAATACCGATTCAGAAAAACACAAGAGGAGGAGCACAGGGTGCAGAAGGGACCATTTGCATCGAATAGCAGGATACACATTGTCAGTATTATCTTGAGTGCATTGGCATTGGCAAGCATTGGCAAGGGGCTGTGAAGTTGCTATTCCAGGCTTAATAAAACGTGTTATAGGAAAAGGGCTTAAAATAACTAGCAGATTTTGTCGTGGCAGAGAGGTCAGGAAACAGATAAACCAGTAGGGCTCATGTCTAACTTGATTAATATTCAGGTACTGCATTAAAGATGTGCGAGGTTCATGGCCACAAGCCCTACAGGAACACCACCAAAGCCCAGACATGCCCATATGGATGTTCATGCCGAGCTCACTGACACAGCAATGCCCAAGCAGCTTTATCTATTATCTGCACAGCATCAGCCATGGAAACACATGGAAACATGGCATCCACCCAACTATCCCTCTCCCCTTCAGCAGCTTCAGGGGGTACTTTTTAACCCATTCCTATGGTGGGCATCTCATATTGCTATGGGAATCACAAGGCATCTTCTCCGAGGCCCAGCTGCCACTCCACAGGGACATGGGTGGTCTTAGATTTTCCTATGAATGACCCAAAAACCCAAAGGAGTCTCAGGTTGTATGTCGTACCCATGCTCAGGCAACTCAATCCTGCCTCAAGGTGAAACATCTAGCTATGGCAACCACATGCAGCAGGTTAAGTGCAGGGCATGAGCATCTCCTCCTGTCCAGCCTGCTGAACTTCCAGCCAGGAAGATCTGATTTACAAAAGCCAATATCCAACAAAGCAAGAGGGAAACATTAAGATATAAAGTATATTTTACATGCACAAAACCTAGAAAATCAGACCCTTCTTTCTGGCAGCTGTTACACGCATGGAACAACTACCAGGTCAGTATCCTGAAATTAATACTAGAGATTCAAAAAACACCAAGTTTCTCGTAAAAAGTGGCAAGCTGGAATTTGATGACCAACAAGTGCATATTGAGCAAGCAGGAGAACTGGTATAGCCATGCCAGAAACACTCCAGTATATAAAGGTACATTCTCAGAGCAGCTTGGGAGAGAGCTCCTAGGCAGTGGAACAGCTGCTTGGCTCCCTCTTGAGGAAAACACTGAATAAAGAAACTGGTGGTTTGGGTTACTCAAGCACCATTACCTTAAATGCTCCTGATTTTCAGGAATCCTCCAAGACTCTTGAAAGAGATGCCACGCTGGAAAGTCCAAGCAGTCAGTTTTGGCTCCACATGAAGCAACAGAATTGACTTTAGAGCCGATTTTAGCTACATGTTTGTAGAGGGCAAGGAGGAGGGGAGTGGGAAGGCATGCTCTCTTCAAGCACAGCAGAGGATTTAATCCTTGACTTAATAGCCAGGCAGTCAGGAGATGAAATCATGGTGCCCCCTCTGTGCACGTACACTTTATCCTCTCCCTGCCTTGCCCCCTCCACATGCTGTGGCACCTACGTGACCTGTCATATTGTGCCACCAACACCGCAGCATTGTGGCAGGGGATCTAGGATGACATCTCTGCCTGTGATGGTCCACTGGCATTCTCAGCAGTGGAGAAGGCTATCATCTAAAGTCACGCTTAATCTGCAAATAACTCTGAACTTGTATTTGCAGGAGGATCTGGACTCAGCACCTTTCCATTGCTGCCACTTTACCCAGCTGTGGCGTCAGCAGGACCGTGGCCCCAGCGAAGTCATAAGCAAAGACCTCACCCTAGGTCCTCCCCCGCAAAGCTGCAGTGTTTATAGCACTGTTTTAAGATGTTTTAATTAACAATCAGTGAGACAGTACTGAAATAACCTTTTTTTTTCCAACTGTACTTCTCAATTAGGCATCGAAACTCAAGATTTTCCTGAAATAGGTACAGATAGAGGACACATTTTTCCTTCAGCAAAGTAAGTATATTTAATTAAGTGTGTGATCTTAGATGCTTGAGCAATTTTTTTCAAAAACTAGTTTGATGCTATTTTGGTCCCTTCTGTGTTTCAGGTCAGTATTGCAAGTACAGGCTAATTACCACCTGAAGTTACTGATCAAGAAGTCATAATTAATATCTCAACACTTCACCACTTCCTGATTTTATTTCTATTTCTTCCCTTATGCAAACTACTTAATAGCAAAGGATGCTTTGCAATGCAGGGTGATTAGAGGAGATTTATGTATAATTATAAAAAACATTTCCAAGTCCTATTTCCACATCCTTTAACATTCCTGAGGGGCATTTTTTGCAAGAAAAAAAAAAATCTTCATTTCTATTAACACTTCCTTCCCCTTTATGCTATTAATCCTGTACTTGCCTGTCTTCATTAACCTCAGAGTTACCACCAGCACATCCTCAGAACTGGTGAGTGGGGCAGGGAAAAGCAGCCAGGGCACGAGCTGGACGCTGGTGTGAATGGCTCCATCCAGGGAGGAGAGCCAGGGCTCAGTTGCAGGAAGATGGTCAGATGGCAGCAGTGGCACCACCAGAGCTCAGTGGTCCTGACCTCCAGCACAGAGCCACGGCCAAGGAAAAACCCAAAAAGATGGTCGTCTTTGTCATCTTTGTCACTCCTTGGATGGGGATGCCACCCATGCTGTCCTGCTATGACCACACAGAGCCAGGTTGGTGACATCCCCACCCCAGCATAGTGCATGGTGGCAACTGCCCCCATTGCTACTCTGGAGCAGCCAGCTCTGCACCGTAGTGCAGCCTCGCATGGGAGCATGGCTGTGCCGAGCTGCTGCTGCTCTCCCCTCTTGGCTCACCACTGCCAACCCACCCCGACCGAAACTCCTCATGGCTACAGGGTTTTCACAGCAGAGTGCAGAAAACTCGGTGGAGGGCAGCACACAACCACTTCTGCTCTCCGTACGGACTTTGCACATCCATCTGAGCTGCAGCGCGGGTGGACACCGGCTCTGTAAGAGGTTTCTGAAGAGAGCGAGCAGTGTCCTGGCCACAGACCCGTCCTGCTCCTGGCTAACAAAAGACAAGCAGTGCTGGGGAGAGGGAGAGAAAGGGAGGTATGATTCACCTCTCCACAACTTCTTGTCCGTTCCAGCAAAGAGTGTCATTCTGAACAGCAGAGCTGTGGTTGCAGATGTAGTCTGGCAAGCTGCTGTAAAAACTGCTGTGGGACTTCAGCTTCATAATGAGTTCCCTGGAAGAAAGAGTGGAAAAATGGTGCTCAGTTAAAAGAGGAAAAGAAGATGGGGCTGGTGCATTTTAAACAGTGAAGGTAGTCACACCAAACACAAGAATGTCTTATTTCTGACCTCAAGTAGCATTTTGCATCGTTTTTACTGACGTTACTCAGACAAGGGATCAAGTGTGTTTCACACAAGTGTGTTTCTTAGGGCAAAACTGCCTGTGATGGGAAGGATGCTGGGGCAGCAGAACCTCAGCCCAGCCATGCAGCACACCAAGGCGACACACTGTCTGTGCTCTCACAGCGCCTACGGAAAAGTGCACGAGAAAGCTGTGCGTACATGGGGTACACCCGAGCAGCAGGTGCTCAGACTGCCAGCAGTCCCCTCGGCTTTGCAGAAGGCAACGGAGGCCCTTCAGGAAAGGACAGCCATGTCACTCTGTCTGCCTGACATCGGCCATCCAACATGCCTGCAAGGGCAGGTGGCATTTTTGGTGGCAGACTGGAGCAGACACTCTCAGCACAGACCTGCATAGACACATAACACCAGGTTTCATGTTGCACTGTCAAAAACACCTGATTTCAGGGCAAGCGTTGGGCAAGCCATGGAGTCACAGTCTGCATTTGAAGGGGCAAGTTACACTCAGCAAAAAGGCTCGGCCCAGGAAGGCAGGAGGAGCCGCAGGAGCAGCGCTTGTGCCAGACGGGGGGGATGTGAATCGGGCTGCACCTCCACCCTGCGCCCTCCTTCCCAGCACCGAGGACCTTTGTCCCCAGCAGGTCCCCTTCAGCAGCGGTCCAGAGGTGTCAGGACACAGGCTGACCCCGGGGACTCTGACAGGGCTGCAGGAGCGGGATGCACCCGTCCCCCCAGACCAGGTCCGTCCCCTCCGGGCATTCAGCAGCTGTCATTAGGAAACACTGGCAGATTTAATTAGGTAAATGGCACAAAAGTACGACAATATGAATAGCAGGGACTGGAGGAAGTAAGACTTGGCCTCAGTCTCCTGGTTTGGGCTCAGCGTGTTTCCCCCTCTGGCAAGGAGTTATTTTTTGGCCTCCTCTCTCCCCGGCAGGGATGAGGAGGGATCAGCACTCCCAGGGGCATCCCCTTGGTGCCCGCAGCGGTGGGACTTCCAGGCCCTGCCAGCTGCAGGGGGGTGCCCAGCAGCACCAGGCTGCCAGACAGAGCAGGGCTGGTCTGGCCTAGGCAGGCTGGGGTGCCGAGGGGGGCCCAGCCCCCCCATCCCTCTTTGCCTGGGGATTTCGCGGGGTTCCCTCTCCGCCCGACTGCCAGCTGGGGGCAGGCGAAACAAGGATTAGACGGCCCAGCGCCAGCGAAGGCGGCCTGCGCTGCGCTGCCTTTTCGCTAACGAGGAGCCTGTTTCTGCCCCGATCGGACTGGCAGAGCCAGCAGCCAACGGAGGCAGAAGGCCACCCGAGTCCTCCCGTGGGTCACCACAACGCAAGCACCAAACCCGTCCGTCACTGCCCATGCCAATAAACAAGGGTTTGCCTGAGGAGTCGAAGGCCCTCCAAAGGGTGGGAGTTCAGCCCACAACCCCCCTGCACAAATTGGAAGGGTGCTCCAGGCATTCACCTTCTGCATGAACCACCACCTACGGCACCGCGCTTACGGTGGGGCAGGAGGTCCAATCAACACCATTTTGAAAGCCAAAATGAGGCAAGACCTGGGTCTTCAGTTGGGCCAAACCCCAAGCAGGACAAGCCTTACGCTGCCCACCACACCCAGCTCCTTACATCCTAGGCACTGCCTTGCTCCCCGTCGCACAGACCCCAGCAGCACTCAGGAGAACAGATGGAAGAAAACTTTCCTGGGGAGCAGAGCTCCCCGTCGGGCAAGGCAGGGAAGGGAAGGGAGAAACTCCTCTGTCTCTGCAGGTATGAGCTCATGTAATTCATTGCAGCAGATTTCATTAGACTTCACAGTCCTCAAAGGACATCTCCGGCAGAGCCTGGGCTGTGCAACCCTCCGACGTGTTGAGACAACGGAGGAATGCAAGCCCTGGTGCTGTATCTCATGGGAACCGTATCAAGAATGTAGCCTGTTACACTTTAAAGAGAAATCCATCCAACTTCGTCTATCCCCAGTTCCAAAAATTGCCAAGCTTGCCTGTTTCTCTTCTGCAGGGAGTTTTTTTGTACTCAAGACAGCAGCAAAGGCACCGCACGTCTCTGGGTGTGCTTTCAGATCCAGAGGGGAGATGCTTCTCTCTGAGACACCAGCATGAGCCCACTGAATTACAGCTTCTATTTACAGAGGGAAGGAAGCACAAGGTGCAGTGCCAGCAGCGGAGGCACCTGCTTCACTTTGAAGTTATTCAGTAGAAGGCTGTTAACATTCCTGAACTACCGTAAAACTGCACAAAAACAGTTAAATGAGTCCCCCTTACCTACACACACAGTGTTACATGCAATGTTTCACGCTAAAGTTCCACCTATAACTACACCTGTGAGTATTTTTGGCAGTATAGCAGTGCCCACGCAAGCCAGATGAGGCATTTGGTGTACGACCCTGGGTGCCTGGTGCATTGCAAAAAGGCAAAACAAAGATGAAAAGCGGGAGGCAGTTCTGCAGGTTTTTAAAAAAAAAAAAAATAGATGCACTAGGTGAGAAAACACACGTAGACACCTCACTGCACTTCAGAGCCAGCCAAAGAGCAGCTCTGATGGTCAGAGTCAAAACCAGCTACAGATTTATGGGTGAGGGAAATTAGGAGCTCTTTGGGGCCATCCCATACAATGAGTGCTCCTGCAGCCCATCCCACGGGCACCGCACTCAGCCCGAGCACTCTCACCTCCTCCTGCTCGACAAAGTTTCTTCTTGCTCGATGTGAGTCACCTTCAGCACTTTCTTGTCAATGAAAAGGTCTTCAGGGTAATTAGCTGATCGATACTGCCTCTGCTGAGCATGGCCGCATAACCGGCTGATCTGGAAAACACAAACACAGCAGCATGAGGAAATGCTGGGACCAGAAACACTGCAGGAAAAGAGCTGAGATGCACACTGGCCCCTGCACACGAGCTGGTCGGTCAGTCCTGTCATCCCCAGCTCATGCAAGTGCCTGAAAGCAAACCACTGCTCTATCCCCTGTGGAAGGGAAGGAAGGAAACTTCAGGAAAGATTTTTGGGCATCAAAGTGCCCCATGATTGTCAAAACCCCTGAGCTGCAGGTATGACCAGCAACACTCCCTACTGCTGACTTAAACTCACGCTGGTAGGAGGGGGCTTGAGATGTTCCCCACTCCTTCCTTGCCAAAAGCCACGGCATCCCGGGATGCTATGCTCCACCACCCTAGCCAGGCTTTTAGGTAACATATTCCCTCCAAAGGTAAATCCTGAGATGCCAGTTCAGCATCTTGAGGCAGCTCAGCATCCACATGGCCTGTGCTGCAGATGCCCGGGGATGAGCATCATACATGTCATTACTAATTAAAAAAAACAGGGCCTAAAATAAAGCAAGCATTATGGCTACAGCCCAGTCATACCATGGGAGGTCTTGATTAACAGGGCTCTGTTAATGACACAAATTAGCTCATTAGCACACAGATGATTCGGTAACCAGATGCAGCAGCAAGGGAAGGAATCCAAAACGCCTCATTAAAGCTCTCCCACGCAACCAGTGTCCCAAGACTCAGCCAGCAGCGCTGCAGCCACTGCTGCAAATGGATTTGCAGCCACCTCCTTCTCTGGGAGACCACCGAGGAACAACTGCTCCCCCAAGGCACTGGTGCTGCTGGGAAACTTGCCTTTTGAACCATCCCATGCTATTCTACAGGACATGTCCATGCTGGGTTGTGAAGGCGGTTTGGCTGATTGCCAGGACCACAAAGGCACTGCAGCTAACACCAACCCCTCCTTCCTTGAGCCTCATCCCACCACCTGCATCCAGGCTCAGGACCAGCCATGTCCCCCTAAAATGCCTGTTCCTCATGGCACCTCATTTATCTTCATGCCACATGAACCAAGGCAGCCAGCTAAACTCGGAGTTAGCCACACACTGAAGGCTAAAAGCACACCCGCTGACCAAAGCTACAAGCATCTGATGTGTAAAGAGAAGAGATTAATTCTGTTCTATTACATCCTGCATTTGGGTGGGCAAATAAATTAGTAATGTCACCTCTTTCATTATCAAGAGCAGCACAGTTTGTTTGCTGAGGCTGCCATACAATAAAGAGTAAAAGAGAAGCCTCCTGGGAGCCAGGCACTGCCATTTCTGGTTCACAGCACGGTGGGAAGAGATGCTGCCACCGCTCCCTTCTGCACCTGCAGTTGCCTCTGCTGAAGTGGTTCCTCTTGCAGCTGCCATGGGAGCACTTTCTGTGGCATCTTACGCGTTTTTTTTCTCCGCTGCCCTCCCTTGGCTGTGTTTCCTCTCCACCTTGCCAAGCCCAGGTCTTGCAGAAGAATCTATAAGCCCTACTGCCCTCCCTAAATCATGTGGCAGACTTAAAAAACAGAGGGAGGAAGGGAGCAAGAGAAACGAATGCCACATTTTGGGCTGTTTTCTTTGCCTTTTGGGTTTTCCTTTAGCACACATTACTCCGCCATAAAATTCTCAGGTCATTCCCCAATGCAGGCAGACAGGACTAGAAGGAAACCACAGGGCAGCAGGAGACGTGGACAAGGGCATTTGGGGGACACCAGAGACCCCACCGCTGCAGAACAGGTCTGCAGGTCCCACGCACTCTCTGAAAAAACCCCGCCCTCCCTGTGCGGGCTGGTGCCGCCCCCCCTGCCACAGGCAGGCTGGCAGGGGAGCGCGAGGGTGCACGGGGGTTTGCAGACCTCACCCCCCAAAGGTGCCCTCCAGGGCCGCGGGGAGGCCCGAGATGAGACCTGCCACGAAACCGCCCCGGGGAAACACCGGGTATGCAAACATGACAGGACAGAGGCACAGGACGAGCGACGCCACAAACACAGCATCGCTGCACCCATGCTCTGCACGGGCACGTAAAGCAGAGGAGATAAGCAGGAAAAGGCCGGATATTTTAAGCTGCTGCGTGCAATGACTCCCTTTGATTCTCCCCAGCTCTGTGAAAAGCCCCCCCTTCCCTTTCCAAAACCTGCCTTTCAGCTGGCGAAGCCTATTGAACCCCGAGAAAAGAGCAAGTCCAGGATCAAGGCTTTTTTCCCCGAGGATGCTGAGACACACTGAATGCGAGGGGAGGGCCCGAGCGACAGCACGAACAATGGCACCTCAAACAGCAAAGCGGCCGGGCGGAGCGGGGCTGCCTCGTCTCCCACCCGGCACCGAAGGTATCACAGCCCCTCTGCTCCCCGCTCCTGCACGGGAGCTGCGGCTCAGACACCTCCTCGCAGCCGCACTCAGTGTCCGGGTACCGCGGGCTCCTGCGAGGAATGGAACCACAAACGGGATCATGCTAGTCCCGACATGGGACAGCAGATGAAATCTTCAAAGAGAGAAGCTGGAAAATCTGAGCAGTGCATCCAAGTTTTTACTTATTTATTCAAGGACCAATTAAACCTTCCAGGAAAAAAAACAAACCCTGCAGCCCATCTTGCAAAGTCACAGGGAAATTATTGTCACATTTTAGTCAAACAAAAACCCGGCTGAGATTTCAACTTTAAATAAAGCGACAGAAGTAACAGATTGCCTGCTCATTTGCAGGGGCGGCATCGTGTGCGCTTTTGGGGGGAGGGAACGATTTCACAAACCATCTGCCAAACTCTGCTGGGCCACAAGCGGTCTTAGGACAACAGCTCAGCAATCCTCTTCCAATCTTTTCCCCTTTTTGAGTCCCCGTTGCAAGCTCAGGAACACACGAACCCAGTTTCCCAGTCTCCTCCTAATCACTACTGATTTAAAGCGAGCTCCAAATTTTTAAAAGTGCAGAAAAATACCACTATAGGGCAGTTAGAGAAGGGACAACACAAGCCTCAGACCTTGGGGGGAAAAAAGTGAGATGCTTGAGCTCTCCAGGCATCACTTGCTTTGGCAGGAGCAGCAGAGCAAGGGCAGCCAGATCCCCGGCAAAGTGGGATCCCTGCAAGAGCGAGAGCGAAAGGAAGGCAGCATGTCTAACCACGTGTGCTAAACGAGCATCGAGCGACAGCGGTAATACGGGGTTGCCTCCTGCCACACGGCTAGAAATGTGAAATTCAAAGCAAATTGACAGACGGGAACCGCTGGCTCTTCTCCGCGGGCTCTGCACACCGTCAGCGGGACCGTACACTTACACGAGCCCTTAGCTGAAGTATATTCAGCGCGAGAGCTGCGCAGTCTCTTATTTCACGTCTCACACACGGTCCCAGAACAGGCGGCAGCCTGAAACATCATGCCACAGGAGTTTCCATGTTTAAAAAAAAAAAAAAAAAAAAGAGTATGTAAATCAAATGGCAGTGTGGTTTTTAGGCAAGGGGGTTGGGGTTTTGAGAGAATCTGCCAGTCCACCGAGGGGACACGGCAAGCAAAACCTGCCCAAAGCCCTGAACTTTTACAGTCCCCCAAAGCCTCCGATACTTTAACAGCCAAAGCTAAATTTCCCTGCCCCGGCTCATTAACAAACTCACTAATTACCCGATTTCATTAGCCTCCTTCACATGAGCGTGACCCA